ATAAAAACATCAATTAAAAATATCACTATTATTAGTAATGATACTAGGAATATTATTTAAACATTATAGAAAAATTCTATGACATATCTGGCATTGTTCTTAATCTTCATATGAATTATGTGTTTAATTCTCATAAAAAAAAACCCTTGGGAGGCAGGAGCAGGCAGAGCTCTGTGAGTTCAAGGCCAACCTGGTCTACAAAGCAAGTTTCGGGCCAGCCAGGGCTACATAGTGAGACCTTGCCTCAACCAAAGAAACAAACAAAAACACAAAACCTTATCCAGGGTAGAGTTCTTGCCTATCGTGTATGAAGCCCTGGTAAGGTAGGACACATATTTAAGTCCAGAACTCAGGAGGTGGAGGCAGGATCAGAAATTCAAGGTCATCCTCAGCTACACAGCAACTTCAAGGCCAGCTGGGGATACATGAGACCTTGTTTCAAAAAGAAAAAGGGGCTGGAGAGATGATTCAGTGGTTAAGAGCACTGGCTGTTCTTGCAAAGGACCTGACTTTGGTTCCCAGCACCCGCATGGTGGCTAACGACCATCTGTAACCCTAGTTCCAGGGACTCTGACACCCTTTTCTACCCACCTCAGGCATTGCACATATGTAGTACACTTAAATATATGCAGGCAAAACACTCATGCATATAAAAACATAAATAAAAATAAAATTAAGAAAACCTACTTGAGAGCATGATCATCTTCATTTTATAGACAAGAAATTTGGAAAGAAAAATGCTAAGTAAATTAGTTTATGTGAATAATCATTATTTTATACTCTCTCATCCTTGATACCCTAAAGACACCTTTTAGAACAGCCAAGCACATAAGGAGGTTCTAACCTCCCAATTTAGACATGAAAAGGTAAAATAGCAGTCAGCAAAGTCAGTTCTGGGTTTGAGTTTTGACAGCTTAAATCACATTCTGTGTGCCTTAGTTTCTTCATCTATAGTATGAAATTGCTGATACCTACCTTCTGATGTGATTGCAAGAAGTAGATGACTCCAGACAGCGGCCAGCTCAGCATGCCGATGTCCAGTGTCTATTAGCTGAGGAATATCACATCAATAGTCTTCCTGGCACAGTCCTAAAAGCTCATCTGCTGGGAAGAAGCTAGTCTTGGCTCCTACAAATTAGTTCTGTTACTAGTGTTTGATCTTGCTGAGACTAATGCTCCTCCTTCTCCTCTCTCATTTTCCTTTCTTTTATTAACAAAAGCATGTGGGTTTTGCTTCTCATTGTTGAAATTGGCTGTTGCTGTGGCAGCACTTGTAAACATTCCATCTTGGGAACGTTGGGAAACACTGCTGAGACTAAGTCTTCTCCAGCTACCTCTGCTACCGATTTGAACAAAGATCTGCTCATTTAGGTACTGGGGTTTTGTAGGGATGGGGGAGTCCTCAAAAGAGGCCTGCTATTCTCTCTATCCATCACTCAGATCACAGACTTGACCATGTCTCCATCTCTTCCCACCCATGCTGCCCTCCTGGCCTCTTAACTATTCCTAATTAAGGAATTATAATTATATTATTATTCTTCCTTCCTTCTTCCCTCTTTCTTTCCTTCTTTCTTCATGTTTTTTGAGACAGAAGTGTCATGTAGCTCAGGCTGGTCTCAAACTTGCTATGTAGTCGAGAATGACTTTGAACTCCTGATCTTCCTGCCTCCACCTCCTGAATGGTGGGACTAGGGGCATATACAGCACATCCAGCTTAAAAGCTCAGTTTCTTTCTAGGCCCTCAGTGTTCCCTGGCCCGTTAGAGTACAAGAGTCCCTGAGAAGGTTATAAGGTAGTCATTCTTACCATATATAACCCCACCCCCCGCCCAGTCTGGCTTCTACTAAATTTACCAATAGGCAATTTGCTGAATGTTAAACCATCAGCTGTAGCAAGAGGAAACTGAAGTGGTGGTAAATTGAGCTGAAAATGAAAATACCAAAGCCTAAATGAGCATTGGTCTCCACTATTACAGGAATGCTTAAAGGGTATGCAGCTTATTCTTGGATGGTCCTGGGAACTGGGTTGCCTTGTGCAGTATCCCTCACCCCCTTGGGAACAATGATATCAAGAAAGAAAAAGGGTTGCTCTTCATGAAAGAGGCTTACAGGACTGGCAACTTGGCTCAGTGGGTAAAGGCTCTTGCTGCCAAGCCTGAACATTTGACACTGATCCCCAGAACCCACATGGTAGAAGCAGAGAACAGACTCCTACAATTTGTCCTCTGAGCTCCGCACAGGCGCTGAGGCATGCATAGGCCCCCTCCCTCCAAGTAAAAAATAAATGTAAAAAACAAATAAAAAAGAGGCTTGCAGATAGAGAGTACATTATGGGCTCTGAATTAAAATTTAAGAAGAAATCCAACCCCATGGCCCTTTCTGAATCTTGGGGAGAATAGGTAGACTAAGCACATGCATTATGGAGCCAGACTGTGTTGGTATGTCCACTTATTTTCACAAGGTAACAAGCATCCTTCTGGGATTGGAGCAATAGCTTGGTGCTTAAGGGAGTACCTCTGTTTATGTGGGACTTCAGGTCCCTATAGAAAACTGTTATCACACTAAAATTGGAGAGTTGGTCTAGGCAGTGGACAGAAGGCAGGAAAACAAAGGCAAGTTCAGCTTGCTGAGGCTAGTAAGGGGGGGGTTGAGGGCCAGAATGGTTACCTTTACCAGATGAGAGGTTGGGTAAGACAGCAGCCCTGAGAAGCTGGAAGGTTCTCCAAACCACCAAATCACAGGTGCCCCTGTGTAGAGCGAGGACAGCCTCCAGGGAATATAGTTTCCCTCTCCCCATTCTGCAAGAATGCTCTTCCGTGTGTGGTGCCACTTTGACACTAGATGGCACTAGAGAGCCAGTTGATGTGGTTTAGTCGGGTAAGGACTCGGCTTTCCAGCTCAGAGGGAGATAGAGGAGAGCAGAGCTGGAAAGGTAGATGGAAAGTAGCTAGTGTCAGATCGGATCTCTAAGACCAAGGTGAAATGCAGCACATTAAATACTTCCAAATCGGGAACTTTATTTGCAGAAAAATGAACTCGGTTGGGAGAGACATCCACTGTCACCCCCTCCCCTCATGTAAAGATTTGCCTGCAAGGAGTTTACAAGCAGATAAGAAGGGAAAGAGTATCCAATACTCGAGTGGAAAGATGAGGAAAAAAAGATTAGCAATGTGCACACTCCTAGCTCTGTGATGGGCACATACAGCTCTGTGAACTCCAACGTTCACATTCTCAGTAGATGCTGAGGTATTTGAAAAACTGTAGCTGAATTTATGATAAAAAATTCTTACTAGACAGGCAGGGCGTGGTGACACACGCCTTTATCCCAGCACTTGGGAGGCAGAGGCAGGCGGATCATTGTGAGTTCGAGGCCAGCCTGGTCTACATAGTGAGTTCCAGGACAGCTGGGGCTACAGGGAGACCCTGTCTCAAAAAAGACACACACACAAAAATCTTACTAGAGCAGGAACAGACAAATTCTTCCCCTTTTCTTAAAGACAGGGTGTTGCCATGTAGCCCAAACTGGCCTTTAACACACAGTCCTCCTGCTTCAGCTTTTTTATTTTATATTTTAAAAATACTTTATTATTTTTATTTTATGTGTATGAGTGTATTGCCTGCATGTAAGTAAGTGCACCTGTGTCATGAAATGCCTGCAGATGTCAGAAGAGGGTGTTGGATTTCCTGGAACTGGAGTTACAGACAATTGTTAGCTGCCATGTGCGTGCTGGGACCTGAACCTGAGTCCTCTGCAAGAACAGCCAGTGCTCTTAACTACTGAGCCATCTGTCCAGTCCCTGCCTCAGATTTCTAAGTGCTGGGATTACAGATATATGCCATGCTACCATGCTCAGCTCAAATGTTTTCATTCTTTTTTTTAATTTCTTTTTTGAAACAGGGTCTCATGTAGCCCATGCTGGCCTCAAACTTGCTATGTAGCTGAAGTCAGATGCAGGGGAGCGTGCTCATCATCTTGAATTCCACTTAACAAGAGATATATGTGTTTTAGGAAAAGAGATAATAAAATGGTAGTTTCTTGGCCAGGCATGGTGGTGCATGTCTTTAATTCCAGCACTGGGGAAGCACAGGCAGATAGCTCTCTGTGAGTTCTAGGCAAGCCAGGCCTACATAGTAGGCCCTTGTCTCAAAAATAAAAAAAAAAGAACAAAAAAAAGAATGATAGTTTCTTGGAGATACTAGAATTATACGTCTGGAAAACCCAAGAGAGAAAATTGAAACACCAATCCTGCTGTCTTGCCTCTTACTTCAGTAGTTTATGTGTGTGTGTGTGTGTGTGTGTGTGTGTGTGTTTGTGTGTGTGTGTGTTGCCCTTAGTTGCACAAAGCATGGATTGAAGTTCTTTGAAAGACTCAACTAGACATCAGTATTTGGAGTTCTAGTTCAAAGAAGCTAGGAATCACTCTATTACCATTTATTATTTATTTGTTTGTTTATTTGTTTTTGAGATAGGGTTTCACTGTGTAGCCCTGGCTGGCCTCAAATGCACAGAGATCAATGCACAGAGATCCACTTGCCTTTGCTTCCTAGGTGCTAGGGTCAAAAGTGTGCACCATCATGCTGGGCGTGGTGGCACTCGCCTTTAATCCCTTGGGAGGCAGAGGTAGGTGGATCTCTGTGAGTTCAAGGCCAGCCTGGTCTAGTGAGTTCTAGGCCAGCCCCACTACGGGGAGACCCTGTCTTCAAAAAGGCAAAAAAAAAAAAATGTGTGCACCATCGTACTTGGCAGCCTATGACATTTTAAGTCTTGTAGTTTGGAGAATGTGAAAAGCCTTGGTTTTCAGGAAAAATATATTTCAATTTCCAGATATAAAGCGTTGGTAGGAAGGTCTAACTCCTATCCTTAGGCCACAATCTCCTCCCAAGATACAACTGTTGCCTGAGTCTTGTAATTCTTCAAGAGACAGTGTGTGTTTATGTGAGTGCTTTTTGTGGCTTGTAACCATACATACACAGAATAACTTCTTGATTTTTTTTAATGCAAAGGAAAATGTATAACAAAAGAAAGCCTCCAAACCGGAGGTTAACGATTGTGGAGAGCAGTAGTATAAGCAAGAAGACAAAACCAGATGTTCAAGAAAAAAAGAATGTTAGCGGGTCAAAGGACAAGGCTGTGATAGAGCCGAAGAAGCCTGTGATAGCGGAGCCAAAAGACAAGAAGACTGTGACAACTGTGACAGATACAAAGGACAAGAGGATTATAACAGACACAAAAGAAAAGAAGATCCTGACCATCCTGAAAGATCCCAAAGACAGGAAGTCGACAGGGACAAAACAGAAGAAAACTGTGACATTTGCGCCAGATGTAAAAGACAAGAGTGTAACCGACACAGAAGAAAACAAGATTGTGATAGAACTGAAAGAAAAAATCATTATGCCAATATCAACAGAGAAAAAAGAAACGGTTATGAGAGACATAAAGAAGGAGATTCTGCCAGCTGTGATGGAAATCAAAGACAAGGTCCCAGTGCCAGAGGTGAAAGAAACGAAAGGTGTGCCAGCTTTGCCAGAGATAAAAGACAAGGCTGTGGTAATTGTGCCATATATAAAAGAAACGCAGCCTCTGATCCAGGTAAAGGAGAAGGTGCCTGTGCCAGAGGTGGAGAAGAAGCCCGTGGTAGAACTGAAAGAGAAGCCCGTGGTAGAACTGAAAGAGAAGCCCGTGGTAGAACTGAAAGAGAAGCCCGAGCCCGTGGTAGAACTGAAAGAGAAGCCCAAGCCCGTGGTAGAACTGAAAGAGAAGCCCATGGTAGAGAAAAGAGAAGACGACGAGACAAGCAGTTTAGCTCGGACTATAGTTGACAATGCCATAGCTTCTGCTGTTTGGTTTGTGGAAGGTAGTGGTCCTGCTGGTTTGCCTAAAGAATTAATAGTCTCATTATTGCAACACCACACTCCCAGACAAGTTAACAAATTCATGCTGTTTACAGATGCTAGAAACCCTGTCAAGAACATCAAATGGCTCAGTCATGGTGAATTCACAGCAGAAAAGGGTCGTATACAAATTGAGTATTTTGTTTCGGTAAGTTACTTGACCACTCCAGGTTCCTCAGGAGGTGAGGAGCAATAAAAAGGGTCTCCACTGATCAAAAATTTAACACCCTCTGGCATGGTGGCATACACCTTTAATCCCAGCACTCAGGAGGCAGAGGCAGGTGGATCTCTGCAAGATCAATGCTACCCGGGTCTATAAAAAGAGTTCCAGCCCCGCGGGGACTAAAAGGGGGCTTTTTCTAAAAAAAAAAAAAAAAAAAAAAAGTTTGAGGCCCTGAGAATCATGAAAAGGGATGATGGCAAAGACAGCTAGAATAAATAAAGATAATTTCCACATGGGTTACAAAATCAAGGTGGGAAATTTTTGCTTTATTTATTTAAATATTTCATTTATTATTTTTATTTTACGGTATGCGTGTATTACCTGCATGTAGGTAATTGCACCCGTGTCGTGCAATGCCTGTGGAGGACAGAAGAAACTGTCGGATCCCTGGAACTGGAGTTACAGACAGTTGTTAGCTGCCATGTGGGTTCTGGGATTTGAACTCAGGTCTTCTGCAAGAACAACCAGTGTTCTTAACCGCTGAGCCATCTCTCCAGCCTTTATTTTTTTGACACAGGTTCTCACTATGTAGTGCCGGCTGGTCCTGGAAACTGCTGTGCAGACAATGCTGGCCTCAAACTCACAGAGATTTGCCTGCTTCTGCCTCCCAAGTGCTGGGATGAAAGGCATGTGCTACCATCCCTGGCTGTTTTGTTTAAAATTATGTACACATAATTTAAATTATGTTCACATGTGTAGCAGATGCCCCGAGAGGCCAGAAGTAGGCATTAAATCTCCTGGGGCTGTAGTTACACGCAATTGTGAGTTACCTGACTTGGGGTCTGGGAACTAAATTTTATAAACCACGTAATGGCTACCAATTGAGTCCAATTTTACAGATGGTTGGAGTTCATTGCTTTCTAGTAATCCCTGTGGATCTCCTGGGGTGAAGTAAGCAGAATACCTATTTCAATCACCAGTTATTTTCCAATTATCCACACTTGCCTCCCCAGTCAGGGTATGGAGAAGTGTGTTGTGTGTGTTTGGTCTATATGTACAGGTCTATACCTAAGAGTGTCCCAGAAGCCCAAAGCCATTCCAAGTGAACTTTGCATTCCTGGCTTACTTTTCTCCTCTACCATGGGAATACTTGGGAGTTGGTTCTAGTTTGAATTGCAATAAAAACGCCAGGATTTCAGAGCTGTATCGTATTGCCTTTGTCAAAAGTCTTTGTGCTGAGCCTGTTTTTCTTTCTCTGAGCTTTCTCTTTTTTCTATGAAACAGACTTGGGAGTTTCAAAACCGCTGGGCATACTACGTAGATTTTATAGAGAGGAAAGATTTAATTCACTCCTTCTACTTTATCTACCATGTGTGCTGGAGTGCCTCCACTGCTGTGAGACCCATGGCACGAGTCAGTGCTAATGCCTACTTCACCATCAAGTTCAACAAAAAAAGCCCTCCGGTAAGCTTTTCCTTTTGTTCCCTGGTCCCTTCAGTGAGGATTCAGCTACAATGGAGACTTCTCTAGCCATGAACATCAACCTCCCTCATTGCAAACTTTTTTTTTTTGGAGACAGGATCTCACTATGTATCTCTGGCTGACTTGGAACTCACTATGTAGACCAGTGGCCTTGAACTCACAGAGATCCACCTGCATCTGCCTTCGGAGTGTTGGGACTAAAGCATGTGCCACCACACTCAGCCTTTAAATTAAAAAAAAAATTATAAGTGTTTTACCTGCATACATGTAAGTGCACCTGTGCCATGCAATTCCTGCAGAAGCCAGAACAGGGCATCTGATGCCCTGGAACTGGAGCTACAGACTGTTAGTCATCATGTGGGTACTGGGAACTGAACTTGGGTCTTCTGCAAGAGCAGACAGTATTCTCCAGCCTACTCCCCCTCTGCACTTTTTGAGACAAGGTCTCAAAGCCTAAGTTAATCCTGAACTTACTATGTAGCCAAGGATGGCTTTGAAATTCTGATCCTCCTGCCTCTGTCTCCCAAGTGCTTGGATTACAGGTGTATGTCACCATGCTGACTCCAATGAATGAATGATTTATGGATTTATTTGTTTCTGTGGTACTGGGGGTCAAATCCAGGGTCTCGCACATGCTGGATGGGTACTCTGCCATTGAGCTATAGGTCCAGCCCACAAAATATGATGGCCAAATTTCTGCCTTCATCTTACATGTCCTGTCTGCAGCACTTATTATGCTGATTGCCACCCCCCCCAAGATACTTTGCTTCTGGGCTCTAGAACATGCTCTTGAGGTGCCCTTCATGCCTCACTGACGGTTCCTTTTAGTTTTCTACTGGTGTCTCTACCTCACACTGACCCTTCATGTTGGAGTGTCCCAGCACCCAGGCCGCTTCTCTACGTTCACATGCTTACCTTTTCCAGTCTCATTGGCTTTAAAGGTTACCCAGGGGCTGGAGAGGTGGCTCCATGGTTAAGAATACTGACTGTTCTTGCAGAAGACCCGGGTTTGAATCCCAGCACCCACATGGCAGCTAGTAACTGTCTGTAACTCCAATTCCAGGGGATCTGAAAGCCTCTTCTGTCCTCTGCGGGCATTGCATGACATGGGTGCACTTCCTTACATGCAGGCATAACATTCACACACATAATGCAGCCTATAGTCCCAGCCACTGAGAGGCTGAAATGGGAAGATCACTTGAATTCACAAATTTGAGACCAGCCTGAGCAACAGCAAGATCTGTATTTCAAAACCAAGATACAGACAAACAGAAACTCAAGCTAGGCACAGTGGTGCACAAGTTACTCTTAGCACTCAGGAGGTTGAGGGAGGAGAATCACTTGAATCCAAGAGTTATGGCCAGCCTGGGTAAGACAGTGAGATTCCTTTATCTCAAAAAATAATAAGTGAATCAATAAGGTAAGTAAATAGCACTTAGATCTTATGGTTTCCAACTTTATACCTCTAGCCCAGACCCCTTCACTTTGAGGTTTATCAAAGCATTTCACTTAGTTTTCTTTTTTCTTTCTTTCTTTGAGACAAGGCCTTACTATGTAGCCCTGGTAGGCCCAAAACTCATTATGTAGCCCAGGTTGGTCTCAGACTCAGAGAGACTCTACTGCTTTTGACTCCCAAGTGTTGGGATTCAAGATGTGTGCCACCATACTCAGATCATTTACTTAAATTTTTTAAAAATTATTTTTATGTTTTATGTATGAGCTTATTGCCTGCATTTGTATAAGTGCACCTGTGTTGTGCAATGCCTAAGGAGGTCAGAAGAGGGCATCAGATCCCTTGGAAATAGAGTTACGGATGATTGTTAAGCTACCATATGGATGCTGGGAACAGAACCCCGGTCCTTTGCAAGAGCAGCCAATGCTCTTAACTGCTGAGCCGTCTCTCCACCCCCCTCACTGTTTTTAACAGATTTTTTTTCTTTTGTTTCTGTGGTGCTGAGGATTGAACCTAGGGCCTTCTGCAAGATAAGCAAGTACTTTACCACTGAGCTACAACCCCAGGCCTGAAACTGAATGTGTGTTTTTCTCTTCCACATCGACCTACTTGTAGTCTTTGAATCTGAGTTGATGGCTAATCCTTGGATTGTTCCTTGATTCTTCTTTCTCTCTCACAGTCCTCAATGAGCCATTAAGAAACCGAGGCAGCTGTAGCTGCAAAGCTCCCACAATCTCTCCCCACTCTGCTTCTACCACCCTGCTCTAAAACATCTTCCTTCCTTCCTCCCTCCCTCCTCCCTTCTCCAAGATAATTTCAAGTTTCCACCCTTGCCCACATGTAGTAGCCAGCCAGATTGGATCTTAAAATATTTTATTATTTCTATTGTATGAGTGTGTTGCCTACATGTATGCAAGTGCACCTGTGTTGCACAATGCCCACGGAGATTAGACGAGGGCATCAGATTCCTCTAGAACTAGTTAAGGACAGTTGTTAGCCACCATGTGGGTGCTGGGAACCGAACTTGGGTCCTCTGAAAGAGCATCCAGTACTCATAACTGCTGAGCTGTCTCTCCATCCCTGGGAGTGGATCTTATAAAGTGAATTTCGGTCATTCTTCTGTTTAAAGATCTATTTTTATTATTTATGTGTATGTATATGTCTGTGCACATGAGTGCCGTTGCCCACAGAGGCCAGAAGAGGGCACTGGACCTCTCAGAACTGGAGTGATGGCTGATTGTGAGCCACCTGATATAGGTGCTGGGAACAGAATTTGGGTCCTCTACAAGAGCAGCAAGCACTCTTAACTGCTGAGTCATCTCTCACTCCTCTGTTTAAAACTTCCCCAAAGTAGTTCTGGAACTTGAAAGTACATGCAAATTACTTAGGGGGAACTTGTTAAATGAAGATTCTGATTCATCAGGTCTGGGTAGGGCTGGAAAGGATGCATCCTCAAAAACTTGTAGGTAATGCTGACAGCACACATCCAGAGGCTGACATTTGAATAGCAAGGGCCTTATGTGATCTAGTCCCTGGTTATTTCTGTGTTCTCATTACCTCTTTCTCCTCACTTATTGTGCTTTAGCCACTCTGATCTTGCTATTCCTCCAATAAGCCTGGTAGAGGTATTCACCAGTCCTTTTAACTACATTTACTCCCAGAGGCATGCATTTCCTGCTACCTCATCACCTCTCTGCCCTATTCTTTTCTTTTTTCCCTTTCCCCTTCCCCTTCCATTCTTCCCTTCCCTTTCCCTTCTTCCCCTTCCATTCCCCTTCCTTTCCTTCCCCTTCCTTTTTGAGTAAGGGTCTCATGTAGCCCAACTTGGCCTCCATTTTACTAAGTAACTGAGGATGACCTGTGCATTAGTTACTTTTTGTAGCTGTGATAGAAACACTGACGAAAGCAATTGATAGAACAAAGAGTTTATTTGGGCTTACAATTCCATAAGGGGCAAGAGTCCATCATGGCGGAGAGGCATGTTGGCAGAGGTGGCTGGAGGAGGAGCAGAAGCTAGGTGCTACATCTTCAAACCAGCACAGGAAGCAAGAGAGCAAATGGAGATCCTGCAAGACTTAAGAACTCTCTAAGCCCACCCACAGTGATGTGCATCCTCTAGGATAGCCACACATTCTAAGACCTCCCAAAACAGTGCCACCATATGGGGACAAAACATCCAAATACTTGGAGCCTATGGGGGACATTTTCATTCAAACCACCACATTCCACCCCAGCCCCTATAGGCTCATGACCACATAAAATGCAAAATGAATTTAGTCCAACTTTAAAAGTCCCTATAGTCATTACCAGTCTCAATACTATTCAAAAATCCACAGTCCAAAGTTTTTTCTGAGACTCAGGGAAATATAACTGTAAGCCCCTATAAAATCAAAAGACAAATTACATACTCCCAACATACAGTAGAACCGAATACACATTACCATTTCAAAAGGGAGAAATAGAAGCAGAGTAAGGAAATTCCAGACCAAAACAAGACTGAAAACCAGCTGGGCAAACACCAAATCCAGTAGCTCCACGTTCAATTCCTGGGACTTTACTTCCAAAGGGCTTAGATGACTCAGCCTCTTTAGCTTTGCTGCATTCAACCCATCTCTCTCTCTTGGGCTGGTGCCATTCCCTGTATGCAGGTCTTCTTGGCAGATGCCTCACAGCTCTGGCATCACAAACGTCTTCTTGGGGTCTCCATTGCCAACCAGGCTTCACCTTCACAGCTACACGCAATGGCCTATCAGGGCCTTCTCTAGGCAGGGGAAACCCTGCTGCATGCTTCCTGGCCTTGGCAGCTCTCCGAAACCATAGAGGAAGAACTGATAACCCCTTCACTCTTGCATCTTTCATGCCTCTAAAGCCACTACTAGGTGAACAACACTGCCAAGTTTGACTGCAAGTTTTCCATGGACTCCAGCCTGCTTTATCTATTTTAGAAGCTTTTATCTTCAGTGGTCCCTGCAGCATTTTCCTTTCACAAATTGGAGGCTTAACTGGGTGTGGTCTTGCCCTGGAGGTACTCTCTCCATTGTTTAAAATCGAATCTCTAGGCCCCTCCTTAATCACTTTAATCTCCTTATCAAAGGGATCCTCTCCAGCACATGCCAGGGCTCCAACATTAACCTTCCTAGTACTCTTTTTCAATACATCCTGTACATTCTGTATTTCTTTCTGCTCCACTTGCTCTTTTTTACTGTAAATCTGTATAATATTCACCATCAATAGCCACACCACCATTTCTATGTTTTCCACCAGAGAAATTAGTCCATGGCTTTTCAAATTAGCCTCAGGTAAGCTTTTTGGCTGTGGCCAGACTCCAGCCTGACTCTGCCAAAATTTCCCAATTGCTGCTTAAGTCCTTATTTCCCTCTGGAACTACATTGTACTCAGCACTACTTTCTCGCAGGCATCTACTAGACTGGCCTGTTAAGCTGTGCTTACAGCAATCAACTGCTTTTCGAGCCCAAACTTCCAAAGTCTTCCACATTCTTCCAAAATCCCATATGGGCAGATTTTTCACAGTCAACACCCCACTTCTGGTACCAATTACTGTATTAGTTACTTTCTGTTGCTGTGATAGAAACACTGACGAAAGCAATTGCTAGAAGGAAGAGTTTTTTTGGGTTTACAGTTCTAAAAGGGGCAAAAGTCCATCATGGCAGAGAGGCATGTCGGCAGAGGTGGCTGGAGGAGTGGAGGCTAGGCTCTACATCTTTAAACCAGCACAGGAAGCAAGAGAGCAACTGGAGATCTGGCAAGGCTCAAGAACTCTCTAAGCCCACCCCCAGTGACATGCTTGCCCCAGAATAGCCACACCTTCTAAGACCTCCCAAAACACCGCCACTATCTGAGGACAAAATATCCAAATACTTGGAGTTTACTTTCATTCAAACCACTACAACCTTGAATTTTGGATTCTCCTGCCTCCACTTCCTAAGTTGCTGGGATGACAGGAAAGTGCCACCATGCCTCTGCTGGATAGCTTTAGTGTCAAACTTGACACACCTAGGTTGAGGGAGCCTCAATTGGGGAATTGCTTCCATTGGACTGGCCTGTGGCCATGACTGTGGGGCATCTTCTTGATTGTTGAATTATGTGGGAGGGCCCAGCCCACTGTGGGTGGTGCCACCCCTGGGTGTGTGGGCCTGTGTTGTATAAGAAAGCAGGTTGAGCATGGGCCAGGGGAGCAAGCCAGTAAGCAGTGTTCCTCCATGGCCTGTGCTCCAGCTCCTGCCTCCAGGTTCCTGCCCTGAGTTCCTACCTTGGGCTCCTTGATGAACTGTGACCAGGGAGATGTAAGACAAATAAACCCTTTCCTTCCCAAGTTGGTAGTGGTTGGAGTGTTTTGTCACAGCAATGAAGAGACAAACTAGAATAATGCCCAATTTATGTGTTGTTGGGGATAGAACCCAGGGCATCATGCATGTGAGGAAAGCACTTTACCAACTGAGCTACACCCCCAGCTCCCCCTTGTTTTGAAAGAGTCTTGCTATGTAGCCTTGGCTGAACTGGAACTCACTATGTAGACCAGGCTGGCCTCAAACTTGTAACAATCCTGCCTCTACTTCCTGAGTGCTGGGATTAGGATGTGCCATCATGCCTGGCTTATTTTCTTTTTGAGTCAGGGTCTCCTTAGGTAATGCCTGATTCTCCTGCCTCAGTGTCACCACTGCTGGGACTACAGCATGCACTAGCATGCCTGGCCTTTCCTGCATTTTCTATACTACCCAATGCTATTTTTCATAACACTCTATTACTTCCAAATATTCTATATAATTATTTTGTTAATGTTTGCTCCTTCACCAGAATGTAAGCACCATAAACACTGGGATTTTTTTTATTTTGTTGTCTTTTTTGTTTTGTTTTTTTGAGACAGGGTCTCTCTGTAGCCCCAGCCGACCTGGAACTCAGTGTGTAGACCGGGTCGGCCTTGAACTCACAGAGATCAGCCTGCCTCTGCTTCCCAAGTGCTGGGATTAAAGGCATGTGCCATCATTCCTGGCACACAGGGATTTTTTTTTTTGACCTGCTACAAAACAAGGCCTAGGAAGTAAGTAGTAGGCTCTTAATAAAAACCTGAAATAACAGAAGCTTATAGGTAGTAGGTAGACCATGAATAAAGTAATCTAGTGACAGCTGGTGTAGAAGGAGCCAGAATATTATCTATGAATTCAGGTTTGGGATCCTCAGAGCAGGCCTGTGAACAAATCTAATGGCTGGGATATAACAGCCATAAAAAGTGTTATTCTCAGGGAGATGTAGCTCAGTGGTTAAGAACACCCAGGTTTGGTTCCCAGTACTCACATGGTGGCTAACAACTGTCCTTAATTCCAGTTCCAGGGGATCTCATGCCCTTTTTTGACCTTCACAGGCATGGCACGACATAGGCACACTTACATACATGCAGGCAAAACACTCATACGCGTAAAATAAATTAAAAAAAATGAATTTTAAAATACTATTTTCTATTTGCCTTCCCACTGTCTCACAGAAATTATCTGAGCTCCATCTGATTCTATGGATTTATATAGGGACCAAATAAGTCACTGTGACAATGTGCTCTAATCATCCTACCCTAAAACAAGCCTATCTCTTCAGAGTTTGGAACCCAAAAAAAACTAAACAGTTGCAAGACGTGGAGAGTTCACATTTCCCTCTCTCAGCTTTCTTGCTGATTGGCAAGGGCAGAGATGGTTCAGTGGTTAAGAACACTTACTGCTCCTGCAGAGGACCTGAGTTCAGTTCTTAGCACCAATATCAGATAGCTCACAACCGCCTGTAACTGCAGCTCAAGGGGGTCCCATGCCTTCTTCTGGCCTTGGCAGGTACCTGAACATAAGTGTACACACACAGACACCCACAGATAAATAAAATAATGTCAATCTTTGAAGAAAATCCTTCAGTAAGCCATAGCTGGGTATGGTGACTCATACCTGCAAAAATCTCAGCACTTTTGAGGCTTAGGCAAGAGCCTGGGCTAGCAGTATAAGTCCTTATCCGAAAAAAAAAAGTATTTGTTGGACTTGTGACACTACTTTGAAGGCTATGAAGTGGGTCCTGGCTGGCGGAAGTAGGTCACCAGGGATGGGCCTTTGAAGTTTGTATCCACTTCCGGTTTCTGCCTGTGTTGTCTCCCTCTGTGCCATATGAACATGTAATGCCCCATACTCCTGCCACTCTGCCTGCCCTAACATCATGGACTGAAATTGTCTGAAACCAGGAGCCCAAAATAACTCTTCCTCTTTGGAAAAGAAAATATTTTTTGGAGCTGGGCATTGTGGCACACAACTGTAATCCCAGCACTTTGAAGATGGAGGTAGGAGCATCAGTTCAAAGCCAGTATCTTTACCACACACTGAATTTGAGGCTAGCCTGGGCTCCATGAAACCCTGTCTCATAAAGCCAACTGAACAAAAAGTGTATGTTGGGAGTGGTAGCACACTTATAATCCAATCCTGGCACTCAGGAGGGAGGCTGTGGTGAGAGGTTTACTTGAGTCTAGGTAATCAACACCAGTATAGGTAATATAGCAAGATCCTGGCCTCAAATTAAAAAAAAATTCCAACATTGTTCATACATATCATTTCCTTCTGATGCCATTCCTAAGAGGTAGAGAGTCACAGCTGAATAAATTGGAATAGGGAAAGAAGACAACAAAACAAAACCTTGATTAAAAATACAAAAAACAAAAAGCACAACCCACCCCCTCTGCAAAAAAAGAAAAAAACGTAAAAGACTGATTCATGCTCCTAATGAGGAACACGGGCCTCTGCCTGTGTCTCCAATTTTGTGAAGTTGCTTAAGGTATCTGTGGCCAAAAAGATTGTTTTCAGAATAAGTGTGAAGTGATGAAGAACTCCCAATTATGGACTCCCAATTCAGAAGGGAAATGAATTCTAGAAATGCAAATATATATGTAGACAAATGTAGGGAGGGAAGGAAGGAATTAAGCTTTGGTATGGTTGAAGGCTTACAGTTGTTCCTCTCTCTTAGGATCTGCCTGTTGATGTCTCCTATATCTTTGAGAATTCAGAATTACTTCTAAGGTAATAAATACTTGGAGACTTATTTTAAAGGGGTGAGGGTGAAGGTTGGTATACACCAGGAATCCAGCAGGCCCAAAGATGCAGATAATTCATGTAGTTCTCACTTCATCTTTGGACCACTCCTCCCACAGTCAGTATGGGCTGAAAGCAGGGTTCTGCCCCTGTTTTAGAAAATTGTTCTTAACTTCTTAATGTATGTTTTTTTCACCAATCAGAAACTTGTGGATTAGTTGATAGAACAGAGTGGGGCAAAGTGGGTCATGTCTGTTCTTTCTACATGAACTTTCAAAGTCTTTTTTTGGTGTTAGAAATCAAGCTCAGGGCCTTTCACATGCTAGGCAGGTGCTCTACCACTGAGCTACAGCCCCAGCCCTCTACAGAAAACTTCATACTGAATTAACTTATGTATAATAACCCCTTTCTGAATTAACTTATGTATAATAACCCCATTCTAAGCATGCTTGGTGGTGCATGCTTAGAATCTCAATGTATGGTAGGCTGAGGCAGGAAGAGTGATGTGAGTTCTGGGCTAGACTGGGCTACAGAGATCATGTTTCAGTGCCTTCACCAAAATCACATTGAATTAATTCACATATAACAATCTTTTTTTTTTAAATAAAAAAGTCTCTAAACTTTTTATATGGGCCTAAAGAATTGTAAAGAATGTGTGTGTGTGTGTGTGTGTGTGTGTGTGTATGAAGTGATGAAGAACTCCCAATTATGGACTCCCAATTCAGAAGGGAAATGCATATCTGCATCATCACTTTTCCCCTAGCTACTACTTGCTCACTGGTAAAGTAACAAAGAGGGAATTCTGTTATGGCTCAGTGTTTTGACTATAAAATATTTTTGTGGTTTTTTTTTTCCCTTCTATAGACCAGGAAAGATTCGCTTTCGAGAACAATGGCTGAGGGACATTACTGAGACCAAACACATTCTGTTGGAGTCCCTTCCTTTTAAAGTTGTCTGATTTTTTGTTATGTTTTAGAACTCTTTATAATCAGAATACATTAAAAATATGATACAATGCATCAAACCACAGAATATTTATTGAATAATAAACTTGTGGACTATAGACCAGGAAAGATTCGCTTTCGAGAACAATGGCTGAGGGACATTACTGAGACCAAACACATTCTGTTGGAGTCCCTTCCTTTTAAAGTTGTCTGATTTTTTGTTATGTTTTAGAACTCTTTATAATCAGAATACATTAAAAATATGATACAATGCATCAAACCACAGAATATTTATTGAATAATAAACTTGTGGACATAATCTGACTGTTTTTGCATTCACTCATTTTTCCATCCTGCAAATTTCGCATTAGCAGGGCAACCAGTAAGTTGTTTTCTATCTTCAAAAAGGTTTTTCCCATTGTTATATCATCATTTTAGAGTCTTGAAAGTACAGAGCTGAGTTTTGAGAGATGCTAAAGTTCACCTGCTGGCACTTGGCCAATGTTCCTCCTTTGTGTGTGTCTCGAGTCTAGACATACTTTTCATGGGCATGCTGAATCACAAAATGGGAAAAGTTCTACTGCTCATACTAAGCAATATCAAGAGTTCCCCTGCTCACAGACCCCTTCATTTACTCTAAGGTAAGCCTCATCAAACTCTGACACCAGACATGTTGCCTTTTATAACACACCATCACAATCAGGATGGCAGCAGTGTGGCTTGAGGACAAGGGGGACAATGAAACAGGGATGGGGTTAAAGACCCACTTTACTTATTTCTGGTCTTGTTTCTGCTCTCCTGTTGCATCATCACTTTTTCCTACCTTCCCCCTGTGAGGCTCCCTTGCCTAGCTGCAAAAATTTCAAACACCAAAGACAAAATTATATTCCACTCTGAGTGACAAGGACACATAAGGAGCACAGAATACTATTAACAGTTGATGTGGTAGGACTAAACAATTTTTCTTTCTACTTTTACTATTATCTTTATGTAACAAATAAACCAACAGGGAAAATTCTATCAACAACAGATGGTGAGAAACTGGGTAATTCTCCTTAGAGAACAAAAAAAGTACATAAAATACAACCATTCTACATAGTTTTTACATGGGCCTAAAGAATTATAAATACAATTATTAAGAATTATATGTAGATAGAACCTTAGCCACTATCTTGCTCACTGGAATGTAACAAAGAGGGGATTCCTGGCTCAACATTTTATTTGATTGTAAAAGCTTTTTGTGTTTTTTTCCTTCCATAGACCAGGAAAGATTCCCTTTCGAGAACAATGGTTGACTTAGGGCTCAGGTGACTAAACAGAGTTTGAAGCAGTAACTCAAATAAGCTGAAAAGAAAACACTTTTAGCCTTTTTATTCTTCCCTCTGCTTTCCCAAAGAATCTGCTCATGAAGATATTCTTTGCAGATCTTTCCCAAATAGATCATGATGCAGAGCATGGTAAGGCTCTGCAATCAACTCTTACCCTTTCTTTCATTTATTATATCTATTCTGTGGAGGATACAGGAAAATCAAATGAAAATTCACAATACTTACATATCACGAAATTGTTGCATTTAAGCTACATTGCAGCTGGGTATGATGGTACATGCCTTTAAGTCCAAGCAATCTCTGTGAGATTCAGGCCAGCCTGGTCTACATAGGTCAGCTAGGGTTGCATGGAGACCCTGTCTCAAAAAGACCAAAAAACAAACCCCAAAACAAACAAACAAAACCCAAACAAATAAACTACATCGCCTGTAAAAAATAAGAGAATGTATTCATCCAGTCTCTAGGAATCAGTAACAAAAAAACAATGCCCCTACGGAAGAAATTTAAAGTGAGTGTTATAAATTTTACATTTTATTACATAAGGAAGTGTATAGATTAATAAGACTCACAATTTTGGGACCTAGTTTCCAATACACTTTTGAAAGGTATAGACCTATTAGGCCAGGCAGTAGAGATACCATGAATTCATTTAAAGTTCTGGGGTCAAAGATGTTACTGTATGCTAACTGCTGTTCAGTTCAGCAGCTGTGGGTTAAAAGCACATTTTTCCAGAATATACACTAAACCGAAAAATGTTCTCTATACTTTAAAAAAAATTTTATTTATTATTTTTATTTTATGTGTATGTGTGTATTGCCTGCATGTAGGTAAGTGCACCCGTGTCCTGCAATGCCCTCGGAGGTCAGAAAAAGCTGTCGGATCCCCTGGGACTAGAGTTACAGACAGTTGCTAGCCATCATGTGGGTGCTGGGATTCGAACCCAGGTCTTCTGCAAGAACAACCAGTGTTCTTCACTGCTGAGCCATCTCTCCAGTCCCCTATACTTTCAAATATGGCTGCCTCATTAAAAAACTCTAGAAAAAAGCCGGGAATGGTGGCACATGCCTGTAATATCAGCACTTAGGAGGCTGTAGGCAGGAGGATCAGGAGTTCAAGGTCAGCCTCGGGTGACAAACCCAATTTGAGGTCAGCCTGTAATACATGAGACCCTATCTCAAAAAGGAAAGAAAACGAAACAACAAACCCCAAAACCAAACTAGAAACTCAAAATCCTAAACTCAAACCAAAACAAAACTCTTGAAAAAAATTACTTTGAACTATTATGAGGGCACTTTATATCAGAGTCAGAATTTTTTTTATCACCCACTTATATACATTTATCTTCCACATATAATAATGGAGATCAAAACAACTTTCTATATGCCAGGTGTATAGCACACACCTTTAATCCTAGCACTTGGGAGGCAGAAGCAGCCGGATCTGTGTGAGATAGAGGCCACCCTGGTCTACACAGTGAGAGCCAGGCCAGTTGGGGCTACAGGGAGACCCTGTATCAAAAAATAACAACGGGGCTGGAGAGATGGCTCAGTGGTTAAGAGCATTGGCTGCTCTTGAAGAGGACCCAGGTTCAGTTCCCAGCACCCACATGATGGCTAGCAACTGTCTGTAACTCCAGTTCTAGGGAATCCGATCCCTTCTTTTGGCCTCCATGGGCATTGTACAATATGGGTGCTCTTATACTCATGCAGGAAAAACACTCATACACATAAAATAAAAATAAAACAACAAAAACAAAAAAAAACAACCTTCTATCCTAACCTTATAAAGACATATGATGGCATGTGGGAGCACATCAATCTCCTAGCACTTGAGAGACTGAAGCAAGAGGATCATGAATTTGAAGATGGGCTACATGGTGAGACCCTGACTCTAAACAAACAAACAAACATAAAAAGAAAGAAACAAACAAACCCAAACCTTAACAAAAGCAGCCCACAATTCTGTCCCCTCTCCTTTCACTCTTGTGGGCTAACAAAAATTGAACAGAATAAGGGAAAGGAAAAGATCATGATTTTTCAGTTCATAATCTATACTAAAAAAAAAGTGATATAAAGTGAGGATTTTTTTCTACAAAGTTAAGGATTAAATGGAATGGTAGATATAAAAAAGCTGAAAGGCTTAACAATGCTTAAAATAAAATCTGATAGCCAGGCATGGTGGCACAGGCCTTTAATCCCAGAATTCTGGAGGCAGAGGCAGGCAAATGTTTTGAGTTAGAGGCCAGCCTACATAGTGAGACTCTGTCTCATAATAATAATACAATAATTAATAATAATACAATCATATTATATAAAGAAAGGGTTAAAATGTTTAATATTTTAGTTTTGTCCTTATGAAACAGCTAAGTAAAATACTGACTTTTAAAAAACATTTTTCCACATCAGCACTCTAGACCACAGTTTAGTTCCTAGACTTCCCAAGACTCTTTTTGAAAGATTCTTTTTCAGTGCTAGGGAAGTATCTCAGGGCCCCAGGAATGCTAACTGCACACTTTACCTCTGAGTTTTACCCTAGCCTGAGAGAACTATTGTCAGCAACTTAATAAGAATTTAAAATATCTAATGCTCACATTTCCAATTCCACAAATCTGTGAGTTAGCTTTTTGGCTTGCTTGGTTTTAGAGTGGAGGTAGAGACTTAACCCAAAACACATTTCTAGGGCAGACTATATATATGAGTAGTTTTCTAATTTGAGAGTTGCTTTTTACAGCAACGCTTTCATTTTGTTGACAAAAGTACCCTTCTACATAGTTTGTGTCAAGCCCATTTCTAATACATTCAACACAGAGGAATGATGATTTCCAAGTTCAACTGGCGTGGGGCAGACATTATGTACAGCTAATGGTAGTTGCACAGGATCATGACATGATTATTTCAGTTTCACATCTTGCTAACACTTTCTGTCCATGACACCTTCCCTAATATGGTAGGAGTTAATTCATAATTTGAATTTTTAAACTGGAAAGTTATGGTCAATCCAAAGTAACCCATATCGATAGCAGACTTTTATTGAAGGACTGAAAGAACGAAGTAGAAGGCACAGTAGCACTGCAAAGATTTTCCAGAGCATAACTTTGTGTTGTGGCACACATCTGGAATCTGAACAACTGGAAGGTGGATGCAGGAGATCAAGAATTCAAAGTTACCTCTGCTACAGTCTGAGGCCAGCCTGGATTACTTAAGAAGACATGCCAAAAAATAATCCCCTCAAACAGACAAAACAAATAATCTTTCCGTGTATATGTGTGGAACCCAGATTTTCTTTCTTGTTGTTAAAAATATCTACTGCAAGGTAAGAAAGCCATCATTTGTCATCCTTCCCCTTGGTCTTTCTGTATACCATCTCTCGGAAACTGGCCAGAATCTTGTTCTCTCTCTTTCGTCTCTCTTCTTGGTTAAAGGATGCAAGGGCTCTCTTCTCATCGGCACTATAGATCTGGTTCTCTTTTCGTAGTCGCACGGCTTCCATTCGGCGATGCCTGGAAAGAATTTTATTTTTGGCTTAGTTTCTTTCTTTCTTTCTTTCTTTCTTTCTTTCTTTCTTTCTTTCTTTCTTTCTTTCTTTCTTTCTTTCTTTCTCTTCTTTCTTTCTTTCTTTCTTTCCTTCCTTCCTTCCTTCCTTCCTTCCTTCCTTCCCCTTCTTTCTTTCTTTCTTTCTTTCTTTCTTTCTTTCTTTCTTTCTTTCTTTCTTTCTTTC